GCTCTTGGGGCGGCGCCGAAGGAGCTGGGCACGACTCGGGTTCGCTTGATCCACGACGGCACCTACAGCGTGGACGTGAATCGCAGGATTCGGGTCCGTGACCGGATGCGCTTCCCGCTGATAGATGATGCTGCAGCAATCCTGCGACAGGTCGAGTCGGAGAAGAAGGAGAAGCGAGAGGTGGTCAGGTTCTCCGTGTTGTATGACATCGCTCGAGCTCACAAGCTGGTGCCGGTGCGAGAGGAGGACTGGGGCTTCCAGGCCTTCAGGCTCCCTGGTGAGACCTCGGGGGACGTCTACGTCCACACCAGGGGAACTTTTGGCGTGGCCAGTGCAGCGTATTGGTTTGGCCGCGTGATTGGTGTGGTGGTGCGCTGCTCCCATAGGCTCATGGGGAGACACATGGGGCTGCTACACTTGATCTATGCGGACGACGGTTGGCTGACCGCGACGGGCACGCGCTTCTGGAGGAAGATACTCATGTGGCTCTTCATTTATGAGCTGCTTGAGATACCCATCACGTGGAAGAAGGTCCGTGGTGGAGCAGAGGTGGACTGGATAGGGTACCATCTCGACGTGAGCAACTTCACTCGAGGCATCAATGAATCCAAGAGAGCCTGGATTACGAAGTGGATCGACGGCAAGCTGGAGCAGGGAGGTGTTTTGGGCAGAGAGCTCAAGTCAGTGCTGGGCAGGCTGTCGTTTGTCGCGGGAGCATTGCGGCATGTGAGGCCCTTCTTGGCTCCTCTTTTCTCTTGGTCTTCATCGCTTGCGGGAGGCACCTTTGCAAAGTTTCCAGACGCAGTGGTTATTTTGCTGGAATTTGTCCGGGAGGAGGTCGTGAGAAAGCCGGTGAGAGGGCTGGAGCCGCTAGCGAGCAGCCCGTCCGACATCTTTCGAGTGGACGCTAAAGCTGCAGGTGAGGAGATCGTCATCGGTGGCTGGGAAACCTGGGGCGGAGTTCCTCAATGCCAGGCACGATGGTTCTCCTTCAAGCTGAACCGCAGAAATGCGGCGTGGGCTTACCTGAAGGGCGACCCCTTTCGGTCCATCGCCACGCTGGAACTCATCGGGGTGTTGGCGGCCGTCATGGTGCTATCGCCCGACGCGAAGTGGGCCGAGGGCGACTCGACGGTGACCTTGACTGCGCTTACAGACAACCTGGGCAACGCCCACGTGCTAAAGAAGTTTGGCAGCAGCCGCTACCCTCTCAGCATAGTCGCTATGGAACTGGCGACGCAGCTGGATCGCAGAGGCATCGAACTGGATTTGCAGTGGGTACCGCGTTGGCAAAACCAAGAAGCCGACGACCTCACAAACCAGAGGTTTGATGACTTCAACGAAGCGCACCGGATAGACGTGCAATTCGAACGGCTGGATTTCCTGGTCATGGGCAAGCTTCTGGAGAAGGCTGGAAAGCTTGATGCGGAGCTTCGTTTGCACAAGACCTCGAAGGAGGCAAAGCATGCCATGGTGAAGGACGAGGCCGTGAAGTCCAAGGCGAAGAAAGGAGAGCTTCGTTGGAAGGACCCTTGGTGAAGAAGGCGGGGGGGCGTACGTCGTGGTTGTCGACTTCCCCTCACGAAGTAGGTTAGTTTAGAGTGAGGTTGCGCGGACCTCACTGTAATACTAAAGTGGGGGGAAAGTACAGCGAGATCACGGTCCTGCACTCTAAGTCGGTAA